GTAAAATGAATACTGTATATTGAAATATTCAGTCAAATTACTTTTTTGCTGAGTAAAGTTGTGATTGTTTAATTTGTTTTACACGGTATAGCTTAATTAGTCTCGATTGTCAAGTATCAAGTATCAGAGAAATGATAATTGTTTTTTATTCAGTTTTTATACCAAAACAAACCAATGGCTTATATAAATATAAATGGGCCACAATGTCTCATTTTTTAAAGAAATATATCTTTTCTGCTGACTTGGACACAAGTCAAATAAATGCATGAGCGCAATTACGTCCCCCCACCCCCACCCAATCTTTCCCTGGTTGCCATTCAAAAGGCTACAAGTTTTATAGTTTCCAATATTTTTTTTCACGATATTGATAATAGCACTTCTAAACCCTTTTAGACGTGAAAAAAGGACAACGATTCTACTGTGCGGAGAATTCCTAGCCAGACAAATTATCGGCGACACGATTTCGGGCTGTAGTGGACATAATTCATATATTTTAATATAAAACACATAATTGAACCAATGTTCATTATTCCTAGTTCAGTTTCATTGACGTGTCAATAAACTACAGACAGGTAAATCTTAGCCGGGCTATCATGACGTCACAATCAATAACGTCCCATAATTCAACAGTGACCTGACGACGGATTATGCCTAGTTACAACCAAGTCCACAGTTTATGCGTTTAAATCTTAGTTATAAAATATTTTTATGAAATTAAAATGTGATGTAAATATAGTAAAATCCATCCAGTTGGTCAAGCATCATATTAAAATATAATATGAACTATGTCTACTACAGTCTGATATCTCATCGCAGATAATTTGTTTGGCTAGGAATTCTTCGCACAATTCCTATAGGCTACCATATTTCCATGTCAATACCTATACTAAGTCTTTCTGTTATTTATGTATTTATAATATTTATACCCAGTCATCATACTTGTGTTGAATGTTGTCTCACTATCAGACCAGTTTGAGGTAAATATGTATTCTGAGATGATTATCATATTGTTTGTCCTGTTAGTAAATGTGTAACCTAGATTAAAATTATCATTTATCTTGTTTGTAAATATATATATATAATTTGTCATATTGTTATAAATTTATGTACGTTTATTTTGTATGCTGTCATCAATGGATGTTTCGATACAATAAAATCTTATCTTATCTTATCTAGAGGATTTATGTACGATTGTCGATTTTAGACTAAAAAGTCAAAGAATGTTCGCACGCTTTTAACGGTTGAGAAGTGCTCTAATCATCTTGAAAAAATATTGGAAACTATAAAAGTTGTAGCATTTACAGGGAAATTGGATGGGGATGGGGTATTTTACTGAAAGAGCGGGGCGGAATTGCTCGCGTTAGATCATGTAATTACACTCATGGATTTATTTGACTATGTCCAAGTCAACAGCGGACGTGGGGCCTGACCGGGACCCCGTGTATACATTGGCGTGCACGTAAAATTGGCAGTTGGAATTCGATATAAAAGTAGGCCATAGTGCCGCTACCTGGCCAAAATTTCCCTCATAGCAAACTGAATGGCGAATACCCGTTTTCATTATAGTCCAGTCAGAACAGAACCGTAGGACGTTAAACCCCATTTCATTTAATTTAATTTACAAGTCAACAGAAAAGAGAGAAGCGTTTTATTGAAAGAGCAGCTTGGCCTAATATTATAACAAATCAATAAAAAATAGATATATATTTGTTCTAAAAAAAAACAAACATTAAGGCCAATTCGTTTGTTTCGGTATCTCTTTACTAAAACATTGTTTTTAAAAATTGAAAAAAAAAATATTGAGGGTTAAATTTCTTTATTATCGTAGCAATGATACTTGACAATCGAGACTAATCAAGCTATACGGTGTAAAACAAATTGAACAATCACAACTTTACATAGCAAAAAGTAATTTGACTGAATATTTCAATATACAGTATTCATTTTACATTATCTATTTTTGAACTACATGTATTATAACGAGAACGGTCAGGTCTTTAACTAAATCTTACATTATCTATTTTTGAACTACATGTATTTTAGCGAGAACGGTTAGGTCTTAACTAAATCTTATATAATACATCTCAGCCCCGTAGCCAGCCTGTTTGTAATAGACAGCAGTCAGGAATCATCATGTGGAGTATTGATTTGAGAACGTGGCACCCTTCACCCAGTCTCATATTATTAGTTATGTTATGACATCTATCTGTCATATATTTTGTTCTAACATCTATCTACCATATATTTTGTACTGACTTGCTGAATGGCCCACTGCAAATGCCTTAGCCCCATCCTCGGTTACCCAGTGTACACATTCCGTTCTACTCCACTATACCCTGGGTTAATCTATGGGGGAGACACGTTTTCAAGTTATCCACCCATGATGATTGTACTATTTTTATCGACCAATCCCATAAATTGTTATTTGAAAAGGAAGTTGACAAAGGGAAGTAACTCTCATTGGACAATGTTAGGGGTTGGCCTATTCTAAATGGGTATTCATTAACAACCAATTTTATATTATGTTAATGAAGTCCAGACGTTCATATAATAATGTAGGCTCATTAGTTTTATCGAGAATCGTTCGTTCGTTCGTTCCCGTAATTTTATGTCCACGTGATATCGTAGACAAGTTATTGTGAATCAAAAATGAAATGAAATGAAATGGAGTTTAACGTCCTACTGTTCTGCTCCTAACCTGGGCTAATGAAGACGGGCATACGCCATACAGTGTGCTATGAGGGAAATTTTGCCCGTACAGCGGCACTACGGCCTACTCTTATATCGAATTCCAACTGCCAAGGGATCTTTTACGTGCACGCCAATGTGTACACGGGACCTCGGTTTTTCGTCCCATCCGAACGACTAGACAGCTTTCCCTGTCAGCCCCTCCATCCTGCATCACTGACAAGGGAGAACCACGCCGGAAAATCTCGATGAACTTTCTCGGCCAATGCAGGGATCGAACACCCGACCTCCAGGATAGCGATATTGTGAATCAAATTGCCAAGTATAAGTTTAATAATTACAAACATAACAGAATGACATACTTCAGACAAAGAACGAATAGTAATAATAATAACAAAAGTCAAACATATAGATGTTATACATAATTTGAAATCAATAATACATACTACAGATTTTGATAAAACAATTAAATATAAATAAAGTATAAATATATACATTATTGACATAAATAAATGGACATGAATATGGTTATCTACCCTTATAAAAACGAAGGCGAAACGATTGGTTTGTAAACTGTTTTCTGATTGGTTCGTAGACTTTAGCTACATTCTAGGCCACGGCAGATAATTTGAAATCGTGGAAACCCTATGGATTAACCCAGGGTATAGTGGAGTAGAACGGAATGAGTACACTGGGTAACCGAGGATGCCTTAGCCCAGGCTCCGAAAGGGCCCGGCGATTTGGTGACAAAAAAATAAATTTCTTTTTATATTTTGTAGAAAAAAATAATGAAGAACCATTTCCCCAAAATAGTGAAACATAGTGGCCTTTTTTCGATGGATTTTGAAATTATTAGGCAAGGGGACCCCAAAGGACATCGGTCAGAAGAAAAAAAAAATGATACCAACGATTCCACATTGGGTGGGTTGGCAGCGGGAAGTTGATATTAGAAATGTTTCCATAACCTGAAACACGAAATATTATTTCTGGTTGACTGGTAACGGTCTTGTTAATTGTCCAATATTTCCGTGGGGCCCCCGTGTCTCACTCAACAAGCTCGCTTGACAAAAATCACGAACCGATATCGTAGAGAGGGGGACAAGTGGGAAGGCGGTCCCACTGCCCCCTCACCCTCTCCGCGATAGTTTTTTTTCTGCTTAGAACTAAGTATATAATATACGTCACAGACCAAACTTTCAGGTCGAAATTTTAAAAAAATTCTCGGGGGGGAGGGGGGCCCTAAACCCCGAGAGAAGAGAACCCACCCCCATCCTCTAGGGTGTCATCTTGTCACTGGGGCCCGGAACTTAGGCTGCCCCAGGGCACGGTGATGCCATGATCCGTTGCTTGGAGGGGGGGAGGAAGCGGTACCCCCTTCGTCCGGGCGAGGAGAACCCCTGCCCCCTGCCCCCAGAGAAGGTGGAACCCCGCCGGTAAATAGCTAGCATGGAGGTCCCGTGTTTGATCCCGGTATTGACCGAGGAAGTTCATCTGGATTGTTTGGCGTGATTCTCCTTGTCAGTGATGCAGGATGGGGGGCAAGGGACAACGTATAGTCATTCAGATAGGACAAAAAATAGGTTTAAAACACAATCTGTAGCCCAACTGGCTATTCTAACCCTATTCTGTAACACGGTTGAAATGAAAGCCCAAAGTCACGTGGAATACCCCAGCCCCCCCCCCCCACCTCCACATGTGTGAGCCACTATTTTCGTGAACCCACTTTTATGTCTATATTGGGGGGACCTTTAATATTTGGGCCACTGGGTGCAGGCGGGCAATTAAGTTAGCCCCCCCCCCCCCCAACACTTTGATCTGTTAATTTTTCCCTTGACGTACCAAAGGAGAAATACGTTATTGTAGATTAAGGTAAGGATATAATATATTGCGTAAACAAACCCAACAGAGAGCAGAATACAATTAAACAGTTTATATGACATAATATTCAATGATATACTCTGCTAAATATATCTTACACGAGGTGTGTTGATACTACAGGGCGGGATCAGAACAATATTCTAAATATAGATAACACGTGACCTGTCGATAATATTCTAAATATACATAACACGTGTGTGACATGACCTGTCGATAATATTCTAAATATAGATATTTCAATACGATAATAAAAGTAGAATTTCTAAGAAGTTGACACGTGTGAACCCTGACCATCAAGATAAACATAACATAACAATGATATTAATTAAAACCAAATGTCAACAATTACAAAGAGGTCATGACAGTAGACATATTTTAAATATTTCTTGGATAATGAGTGTTTACATATTTCCACAGTCATATATTGACATGGATCATGTGATGTATGACGCCGGGGTCAAGGCAATATCAAGCACTCGAGATGACGCGTGATGTAATTAACAGCTAAAGAGAATGTGTTGTTGTCATAGTTATCTAGTAGACTATTTACCTGTAAGACTGTACACTATAGTGTTTTAATTCTTTTGATGTTAATATCGTATGTTATATTGGACTAACTGATTGATTCTGTAGTTTTATACAGCTGATGTAACAAACGATTATTCAACATTGCTAAATAGACAAACATGGCTGAACAGGAAGTATGTACTATTTGTTTGAATGACTATCAACAAGCTGTAGTAAAACTGGACTGTAATCATTCTTTCTGCTTCATCTGTTTAGAAGATTATGTGAACAAAACCTCTACTAATGACCACTTTCCGTGTCCTTTGTGTCGTGTCGAATCTTCATTACCAGAGGGTGGAGTGAAGGAACTGAAACCGAAAGTAAACACTAACATTCCACAATGTGACGTATGTATAAATAGTTTATCTAAATTTAGTTGTAAAGATTGTCAACAATATTTATGTGACTCTTGTAAAACGACCCATGGTAAATTAAAAGGCTGTAAAGATCATATTGTCGTTAGATACGAGGCATTGCTGACTTTCAGCACCGAATCAGGGGCAAACAACTCCGTGACAGAAGACGTGAAATATGAATCCAGTCCACGTGATGTCTGTCCAAATCATCAACATACGAGTGTAAAATTTTACTGTAAAGATTGTTCAATGGCCGTCTGTTCTGATTGCTATGTCATTGATCATAATGGACACCAATTCTTAAATTTACACGATGACAGAGTAAGAGAAGAAATCAATGGAGAATTAAAAACATTAAACGAAGAAATAAAAACCCACATTGATCAACTTGAAAACTTCAGTGAAAGTTTAAATCTGAAGTACAGTGAAGTGAATGATTCAGTGAAGACAGAATGTGACAAGATAGATGAACAGGTCGATAGAATTTGTAGAGAGGTGAGAGAACTTGGAAACCAGATGAAACAACAAATGAAAACATCCTGTGACGAAGATGTATATGATGATGTTGATGGAAAACTCAAAAAATTAATGGAGGATATTAAAAGACAAACTGAAGATTTAAAAGCTAGTGTTAAATATTCAGTGAATGTTTTAGAAGAATCGTCGATTGTTCAAGTTTTACAAAGATTACCTAAAGTTAGACAGGAGAAAGATGAAAGTTGTTGCAGAAAATTGGATATACCTGATGTAAGATATTCAACATTTCAAGTAGCAGAGATAGATAAAACTTTGTTAATTAATCAACTTGGTAAAATTGTAAGTTGTCATGAGAATATGTTTGAAGATGTTTTTAATGTGGATATTGTGTCAGGTGGTGGTGTGTATAACGGTAAACTACATGTAGTTTCAGGTTTTACATGGCGTATTGGTGTGGGTAAAGGATCATCATCATTACTTGTTAAATTATACCTGGATGACGTAGAAGATAAAAGTATTACGTCATGTGATGTTGACGTCACATATAAAGTTATAAATAAAACAGATGATAGACAATCTGTAGTTAAACAATATAATGAGACTGTTAGACCTGGTGGTTATACCTGTTATACTGGTCTTATTAACTGGAATAGACTCAGTAATCCTGTCAGTGGATTTATTGATGATCATAGAAACTTTACAATTCAAGTAACAATTAATAAAATAAACGTAAATAATTAAAAAACGTAAATAATTAGACTAATGTTATTCTGATTATTCTGTAGAAACTTTACAATTCAAACAACAATTAATAAAATAACAGGCATTGAAAGATGTAAATAATTAGACTAATGTTATTCTGATTAAAACTAATAATTGAACCTATATATGAATTAACTTTAAATAATCTAATTATTATGCTGCACGAGAGATAACCTATTGTCCCGGTCATCCAGTACACTTCAGTTATTCAAATCAAACTGAAACCGGGTTTAACATCCTAGTCTACTTCATCAGCCGAACTCATAAAAAATATATAAACCATGCAGTGTGCCATGGAAGATATTTGCCTGGACAGGGGGAGTTTCCACCTGCCAATGATTCTCCAAGCCCACATAGGACTGCAGTTTTTTTGTCCCATCCAAAACACTAGACACCATTCACTGTCAGGCCCTCCATCTTGCATAATTCTGAAAAATCATAAGGATCTTTCCCAGCCAACCCCGAGATCGACCATTCGACCTACTGTTTAGTTGGTTAGCGAGCGCATTACTCCCTGAGCCACTCTGACTTCCAAAATCCACTTGAAAGAAACGGAATGAAATGAAATGGGGTTTAACGTCCTACTGTTCTGCTCCTACTGGGCTAATGAAATGAAATGGGGTTTAATGTCCTACTGTTCTGCTCCTACTGGGCTACTCTTATATCGAATTCCAACTGTCAAGGGATCTTTTAGGTGCACGCCAATGTGTAAACGGGATCTCGATTTTTGTCCCATCCGAATGACTAGATGGCTGTCCTTGTCAGCCTCTCCGTCCTGCACCACTGACAAGGGAAAAACGACGCCGGAAAATCCAGATGAATTTTGTCGACAAATGCAGGGATAGAACACTGGACCTTCAGGTTAGCTAGCCACCGTGCCCCTCCTCCACTTTAACCCTAACCCTAACCCTAGCTAACCACCGTGCCCCTCCCCCCTCCCCCCCTCCACTTTAACCCTAACCCTAACCCTAGCTAGCCACCGTGCCCCTCCCCCCTCCCCCTCTCCACTTTAACCCTAACCCTAGCTAGCCACCGTGCCCCTCCCCCCCTCCCCCCTAACCCTAGCTAGCCACCGTGCCCCTCCTCCCCTCCACTTTAACCCTAACCCTAACCCTAGCTAGCCACCGTGCCCCTCCCCCCCTCCACTTTAACCCTAACCCTAGCTAGCCACCGTGCCCCTCCCCCTCCCCCCCTCCACTTTAACCCTAACCCTAACCCTAGCTAGCCACCGTGCCCCTCCCCCCTCCACTTTAACCCTAACCCTAACCCTAGCTAGCCACCGTGCCCCTCCCCCCCTCCACTTTAACCCTAACTACATGTGAGTAGAATACACACACTGTGGACCTTATAATTAGTGGAATTGAACCGATCATGTCTGAATAGTCCAAAACTATTAATTAAATTGCATAATCAAATTATATTGACTCGAAAAACTATTTGTTTCACCATTGGAAATAATGAATTTAGTTGTACTTAAACCAAATGGCAGGCACAAAAGCAATTGCATCTGAAAATGTCTGAAAATCTGTGATAGTTGCCTTTAACTCCAGTCTTGGACTGATATCTACATGTGGTTCAATATTTTTATATCAACTGTATATTAATCTCTACCATAGCAACAAAATATTACTGTATATTAATTTCTACCATAACAAACAAATATTACTTTATGTCTATTCTACCATAGCAACAAAAGATTACTTTATGTCTATTCTACCATAGCAACAGGAAAAGATTACATTATGTCTATTCTACCATAGCACCAGGAAAAGATTACATTATGTCTATTCTACCATAGCAACAGGAAAAGATTACATTATGTCTATTTTAACAGAGTAACAAAATATTATGTCTTCTACCATAGCAACAAAATACTACATTATATCTATTCTACCATAGCAACAGGAAAAGATTACTTTCCATCTTTGATTATGCTCGTATTTTTATATCATACAACAGTATAAAACATGGCGACAGATTAAAGATCCATTATGTAGGAGATAAAGCTATCTATTGCAGGTCTATATTCACAAGACAAACCCATAATCAAATTTCAGATGGCTGAGATATTGCATGGATTAGGCCATTAAAATAAACATCACTCAGTAAAAGGACTGGCAATTGAGACTCTGTTTATTACTATGGCAACAGTACTAGACAATCGTCTATTTCTTGTTGAAACATCAAACACTCATAACGTTAGCTAAGAATAAAGTGATTTGACTGAAATTTTCAATATATTCATTTTTCATTATCTATTTTTAAACTATTATTACAAGAACCGTCAGCTCTTTATCTAAATCTTACATAATACATGTTTAATAACTGAACACATATTAAATTACATTAAAACATAAAAGCAGGGTATAAAACTTGTTTAATAACTCAACACATTAAAACATAACAGCAGGGTATAAAACTAAATTTTATTCTATTTTGATCAAAGAGAAAATCTTTCTTTAATGATTTTAAGTAAGTTTTTGGACACATATCTAATGAATTATTATGATTATGATATGTTTTATGGCATATTATCATTATACCATAGTTTATTATCATTATACCATAGTACATAGTTTATTATCACAAGGAATGGAATGTAATCTTTTAACATTATATAACATCCATAATACTATGTACAAAATGCTAGACCAGCTTCTCACTAATGCCTGGACCTTCTCGTCGGTTGCCTAGGAAACGCTTGTCTCTGACATCACTCTCACTTGAAGCAGACATTAAAGCTCGCCGGAAAACCTTCATTTCACTTGAATGTTGGGCTCACTGTTAAAGCTTCATAATTTTTTTAAATTAGTCAACATTTCTTTTCCATAAATATAAAACGAATGTCAATGTTCCCTACCACACGTTAATTTCAAGGTTAGCGATTTCCGCCATTTTGCTTCTGCTCATAGAAATATAGACTAGAATATGAGCAGAAGGACTAAAATGACGTCACAGATTTTCCCGTGAGCTTTAAGGTATGTTCAAATCGGATTATAACCAAAATAAAATGGAATGGATTTTAAAATCCAGTCAACACAATCAATACCTTGGTTATTTTGAGACTAACATGTAGTTTAGTGTGCAATGTTAGAGGAGGATTTTGTCCAGACAGCAACATTTCGACCTATTCTTCTTTAACCAGACGGAGCTTGATTATTTATAATCTTTACGGAGTATTTAGCGATTGGGAAACATATTAACATAACACCATTTTTATCGGTTATCAATCACTGGTTTTATTCTAAAAACATGACCTTTCAACAAATATGGTCTCTTATCCTGAGAGAGAGATAGAGAGATTGATTGATGCACCTCCACATGAAAGTAGTCTTTTGTAAACAGTCTTTCGTTTGTTTCCTTCCACAAGCAAGGCTGCTTTAAAACCATCAAAAGATTTCCCATTGTTTAGTGTAGAGAGAAATGGGGTTTAACGTCCCCTCGACACAAACCAGGTCATTTCTGGACTAACATATGGTCCAATTTTATTTCAATAATTCGCATGCGCGTAGGGGTCTTTAGTAGTGGGAGGAAACTGGAGGACCCGGAAAAAACACACAAGGTTGGACAGGCGACGCTACTCCTTGTCACATACAACCAGGAAATTAAAACCACGCCAGTTGACTCAATGACAGACCTTGTGATGCAGCGCGCACACGTTAACCAATCGGCCATCCAACCCCCTCGTCTTATCATTATCAAGCACAAATATTTGTGCTTTTAGACTAAACCCAGTGATGAGCTTCCATAAAAATTGTCTTATATATAACTTGATTATTTATCCAATCAGAACGAAGCACACTTTCTTCGTCAGACCCTTCTCAAACCCCCCGGTCCAATAGCCCGAGAACCCAAACTTGGCAAACTACGATGCCACCCAGGATGAGTGAAAACCAGACCTGAAAAATCCTGAATGTTTTTGTTGAATCCAGGAGATTCTAGTTGTGAAGCCAGTTCCCTATCACTTCACCAACTTGGTAAAATATGTTTGAAATGAATACCCTGGGTAATATAATAATATTTAAGGCATATTAAATAGATATTGTGAATATAAACAACTAAGGCTTTTTTTTTACAATAAATAACATTAAAAATGACTATTATAAACTAGCTTAAATGCCTGAACACATCAAGGATTATCTAGTGATGATTCCTATATTGTCAACAAATAATCGTTGGTCTATCGCAGGGTCATATAAAAAGAGTCTGGCCAGTCGCTATTTTGTTAGTCAATCTGTAGGTGTGATATATCAACATCAGAACAGAATGATAGTTCTGTGGAAGATACGAGACCAGGGTAAATATCTATAGGGTGCAGGCTGTTTCGTACTTAGTTCATTCCTACCTCAGATTGATTCGTACCTTTTCCTACACGTTGTTGAACTAAGTACGAAACAGCTGACATCCTATCTATATTTACATTAGATAACCAAGCCATGTTGTTACCAAATCACAATTTCACCAGACTTTCTCAATATGGGGATACTCGACTGAATGTTCCGGTAAAGAATTCTCTAAATCCCCTAAAATAGTGACAGTGGAGTAAAAGGAGGGATTTCCGACATGCATCGACTGCATAGGAAAATATATCAACCCACCATGACATCTCAGGCATATCGTTGTGTTTAATAAAGTCACGATTCTACTCACACTAGGACTGAATTCTGCGTAAATTCGAGACGTTCTGGACTGAATCAGCCATCTCCTTTATTATGACTCTGGTGTGTGGTAGCCCTTTTTACAGGAATAATTGATCATTAATAATATAAGGCATTCTATATCGTAATAATAAACATTTGATTGAAAAAATTAAAAATATATATGAAAGCAATATTATTATAAAGTGAAAAATACTTTGATTATAAAATATATTGTAAAATAAATTAAAAAATATATATTTGGATAAGTATATGATGATATGAGAAATACTGTACAGTGTATAATATTATTATATTCATATATCTAATGACTTCTGCTAATGGTTATATAACTGTAAATACTGTACAGTGTATAATATTATTATATTCATATATCTAATGACTTCTGCTAATGGTTATATAACTGTAAATACTGTACAGTGTATAATATTATTATATTCATATATCTAATGACTACTGCTGATGGTTATATAACTGTAAATACTGTACAGTGTATAATATTATTATATTCAAATATCTAATGCCTGCTGCTGATCGTTATATAACTGTAAATACTGTACAGTGTATAATATTATTATATTCATATATCTAATGCCTGCTGCTGATCGTTATATAACTGTAAATACTGTAAATTGAGTAAATTTAACACTGAAAGACAAGTCACTTGTCAATAACGAGCAGCAGGTAAAGACGAGTTCAATAGCAGCAATGAGTCTTTGCTGTAATTAACCTATTTTAAATAACACTAATATATCTTAATTTAATCTCTGTTACATGTAACTCTCTCTAACACAATCCTTCGTTTATTACTTAATATCATAGCTTACTGTAAACACAGCATATTAAACTACATATTGGTCAAAACAGATCAACAAAGGTCAATAGGTCAATAAGAAGTAATCAAATCTACTGAACCTTAAACTGGTTTTAACGTCATGAAAAATGATATAGAACGATTGATATTAAGTACTGTTTGTGTATGAAGAAATTGTTACTGGCCTAAATCTTACAGAAACTGTTTATAGAACCCGACAAGTAAATAAATCATCATAGTTACCTCCCTTATCACTCTGTTTTAGATAACCTCAAATAACCTATAAACAGTTTCTTGGATTCTAAATTCTAATTCTAAGTTGTTGACAATCAGAAAAAACTTTCTGTAAACAATTTCTTTACTTTATTTTTCTAAGCTGATGACAATAATAAAAACCTATTTTACAGAGAAACTTGATTCTAAGTTGATGACAATAATAAAAACCTATTTTACAGAGAAACTTGATTCTAAGTTGATGACAAAAATTTTTTTTTACAGAGAAACCTGATTCTAAGTTGATGACAATAATAAATAACTTTATGCTGTTGGCTCCACATCACCTATTTTCGCAGTATCGGCATTAACCGAGTTATCATACGCCTGTGATCGCAATCTTCTGTTACGAACGAATCTAACGATACCCAAAGCACACTGTATTACCCATGCTAAGAAACCAATCCAGGATGCTGTCTGAAATAAACATAGATAAAACTTCAGCAACAACAGAGGGATAGCTTTCAAAATACAGGGGAGGTAACTTAGGAAAACACATTCCAATATGGGGGAGGTAACTCAGGGAAAACGCGTTCCAATACGGGGGAGGTACCTCAGGGAAAACATGTTCCAATACAGGGGAGGTAACTCAGGGTCAGAAAAACACGTTCCAATACGGGGGAGGTAACTCAGGGAAAACACAATCCAATATGTTTTAGTCCCAAACTGACCTAGTTAATTCGGGTGGAAGTTAACCTCCATTTTTCTCTGGAAGGGATATTTAAATAGAGAGAAATGGGGTTCAATGTTCATTCGACACAAACTAGGTGATTTCGGGACTAACATATGGTTCAATTTTATTTCAATAATTCGTTTGCGCGTACGGGTCTTTAGCAGTGGGAGGGAACCGGAAAACCCACAAGGTTGTACAGGCGACCCTACTCCTTGTCACGTACAAGTGGGGAATCGAAACCATGATAGTTGACCCAATGACAGAACTTATGATACAACACCCCTTGAGAGAGAGAGACCCGGACCCGTGGAAAACCCACGAGGTTTGACAGGTGACCCTACTCCTTGTCACGTACAAGTGGGGAATCGAAACCATGTCAGTTGACCCAATGACAGAACTTATGATACAACACCCCTTGAGAGAGAGACCCGGACCCGTGGAAAACCCACGAGGTTATACAGGTAACCCTACTCTTTGTCACGTACAAGTGGGGAATCAAAACCATGTCAGTTGACCCAATGACAGACCTTATGATACAACATTACTTGCGAGAGAGAGAGAGACCCGGACCCGTGGAAAACCCACGAGGTTGGACACGCGACCCTACTCCTTGTCACGTACAAGTGGGGGATATTATCTAAATAACAAACCTGAGCCACTGTAAAATAGGCGTAGTAATGAGAACCATTATAATCTGTATTCCTCTGGGCGTTCCAATTCATACGCTGACCTTGAGAGCAACTGAAAAAATTCATGAATATCTACAATTCAGTCCTTTTATTTTCAAAATTATTCTCTCTGTGTGTTGGTGTGTGTGTGTATTTATAAGTGCAATATAATTACTATCCCCATCTCTAGGATATGGACTTTATATGAATAAACAATGTGGACTAAATTTACAGCTGCAACGCCTCCAGGATTTCGATCCCTGAAGCTTCAACAACTTCAATAGTTTCATAGTAGATCCACCCCTGAACATGGGCCCTCTTAATAGCCATTCTGAGCAAATACACTCCTGTTAATATGACCGATATCAACTACTGAAATTCTTTGTCCAAATACCAACAATTTTAACCTGCCTTCGTTTGTTTCATAACTTTTTCTCTACAGACACCTTGACTTTATGAACCCTCCAAATTGTTTCTCTTACAGTGCTAATGATTCCACATTTAATTTATCATTTTTTATCTGCAGTGTCGTTCCACACACCAAACCAGTTTTGCAGAGATGTTGAAATGTTGCAGCTGTCCCTTAGTGCTTTAAAAATACAAATGTATAATCAGTGGTGGGCATATCAAGAGGCAAATTTATAAAATATTTAATCTTTGTGAAGAAGGCCTTGTTGTATAGATAGGAAGCCACAGTGGCTCAATGAGTAAGATGCTGGCTCGCTAGCCTGGAAGTCCCATGTTGGATCCCTGCATTGGCCCCTGACAGTTCATCAGGATTTTCCAGCATGGTTCCACCTTGTCATTTGGGCAGGACCGAGGGCCTGACAAAAAACAACAGAAAAACAAGGTCCTGTGTACATATTGATGTGCACGTAAAAGATCCCTTGGCAGTAGGAATTGAATAAAAGAGTAAGCCGTAGCACCTCTGTCCGCACAAAATTTCCCTCATAGTAGACTGTATGGCGTATGCCCATTGGAGCAGAACAGTAGGACGTTAAATTTTATTTTATTGTATAGATAATGACTCACCTTCCTGTTGTAACTGTGTTAAAAATAAAGAAAGATACGTATCAGATATAAGTTCTGGACCAGTTAACAAAGAATTTAAAGTAAACCACTGATGACCCAACTTTCTAACAGCAAACCAATGTTGTTGAAAATTACAAATAAATGCTCGTTCATTACTGCAATAGAAAATAAAGGTTTTACATGTAAGTAGCAATAATCAACCCTTTGTAATTTAGCCGAAAGTAGATTGATTTATGATACCATAGTGGCTGGTTCATTGTTTTACCAATCGGCACCCTAACCCTAACCCAGTGAAGTGGACAGTTTCAGAGCTCTCAGCACCCTAACCCAGTGAAGTCGACAGTTCCAGAGCTCTCATCACCCTAACCCAGTGAAGTTGACAGTTTCAGAGCTCTCATCACCCTAACCCAGTGAAGTGGACAGTTACCAGAGCTCTCAACACCCTAACCCAGTGAAGTCGACAGTTCCTGAGCTCTCATCACCCTAACCCAGTGAAGTTGACAGTTTCAGAGCTCTAATCACCCTAACCCAGTGAAGTCGACAGTTACCAGAGCTCTCAACACCCTAACCCTGTGAAGTCGATATTTCCCGAGCTTTCATCTTCTGCATCAGCTGACTCAGAGTGAAATTATCTGGCTGGAGAAATAATCTGACAGGAAACCCTATTTTAAGTTAGGAAAACAATCATGTTGGTGTGTGGAAAGACTTACTTTAAATGGACAAGAGTTAGTTTGAATGGAAAAGACTCACATAAAATAAAAAAAGACTTACTTTTTTCAATAAAAAAAGACTTACTTTTTTCAATAAAAAAAGACTTACTTTTTTCAATAAAAAAAATATTTTTAAGGGAAAACATTTATTTTGAGGGAGAAAGGCTTACTTTGCGGGGGAAAAGACTTACTTTAAGTGTGGAAAAAAATTACTTTGGTGATGCTGGGGGGAACTTACTTTGAGAGTGGAAAAGACTTACTGTGAGGATGGAAAAGACTTACTTTGAAGAGGAAGGAGGGGGATTTACTTTTACTGGGAAAAGACTTACTTTCAGGGGAAAGGACTTACTTGGGATTTATTCTTGCTTGATTAGCTTGTTCTGTTTGACTGTTGTATGGTATCATCTTTAAACCCCAGACTGTTAGGGCATCAGATATAACTTGTACAGAGAAGAAACCACTATCATCAAAATTACTGGAGGGTTGCTGTTAATATTAAATACAGTAAAATTACTGAATGGTTGCTGTTAATATCAAATACAGTAAAATTACTGAATGGTTGCTGTCAATATCAAATACAGTAAAATTACTGGAGGATTGCTGTTGATATTAATTACAGTAAAATTACTGGATGGTTGCTGTTAATATTAATTACAGTAAAATTACTGGAGGGTTGCTGTCAATATTAAATACAGTAAAAATGCTGATTGATCTAGGCCTACTTTCAAGTCTCACCTGTAGAAACTGCTGATTGATCTAGGCCTACTTTCATTAAGTCTCACCTGTAGAAACTGCTGATATTCTCATGTGTGTACCCCACCTTCTGCCATAAATTCTCTTTCTCTAACATCCAGTCTTTCAGCTATTTGAGCTAAATCTACCGCAGAGAAGTACTGATTTTGGAGCAATGCATTTAAACAATGCTGTGCACACAAGGAGCCTTCTTGCTGAAAACATATCAAAATAAACGTTTATTAACACTGGTGATTTGGAGAGACAAATAATTTTAGGCTTTACTTGACTTGTATTTCTAATTTTGTACACCAGGTAGGACTACACTTGTCAACTTCTTGGGAGTTGAATAATAACGGAGGCAGGTGGAGGCTTGACAAAGACAGCTGTCTAGTTGTTTGGATGGGACAAAAAACTTACATATTGGCATGCACGTAAAAGATCCCTTGACAGTTGGAATTCGATATACATTTTAATTTGCAAGGTAAAATTGATGGGTTCAAATCATAGTTATAAAACACATGAACTTGTTTGTGACAACCATTTGTATGTTTAAATCTACAACATGTCTGTCGGACATGGAATGAAACATTATTTTTTTTTTAAATACAGAAAGACAGGTAGTCTACAGTCCAGGAATTGAATTAAAACTTGATTTTAAAAACAGGAAATATTATTTATGAGTCACTCGATCACACGTCGGTTATAAATTCTTATTTAAAACTAATAAATATTCAAATCAGTCTGCGAGGGTGTCTGAGTCTGTTCAGAACTAACGGTGAATATTCACTCTATAATTCACAGAAATAAGTTACCTTTTCATGAAATATTAACTCCATTTCAACAAACAGACGAATTTCCTGAACTATTTATGCAAGGGAGATCACTCTCAAATCTTCAGGAAGCTGTAAAGGGCAACAGATCACTAATTATTTCCCCATTGACTTTAATGTTAATTCTCGTCTCTTAGACCGGATCTAACTTTTTCCCAAATGTTCGTTGATAGAACCCTTTCTGCCACAGATGGAGCAACATGTGGCAAACTTTTGCCCAAAAGCATGTATGAGGTTCCCCATGAAAAACTTGAGATACACAAGCTGGAAGTAGAGACAATTAAACATGCAATTTCCGGCCCTACATTTCAACGTAACCAACCTCGCATCTCTTGTGTTCTTCCGCCTCAAAATCATGAATATTCACCAAAACCTGGCAGAAAATGTATTTTCAAACCCTTTTTTTCGATTCTACACCAAAAAGTCAACAAAAATCGCCATGCAAAAGGGGGAAAAAGGGAAAGGGAGAGAGAGACTAAAAATAACTTTCGCCCTCGTAGGAATATTTGGTGATCTGTGTCCCAAAAAAAAGAAGAGGGCCAAGTGGCCCGCGATTGCTATTATTTTCCCATTGACTTTCCTACTCAATTTAACAACTAAAACTATTTGAATAGACAACATATTGTTTTTTTTTAAAGTGTGTATGTTTGGGGGCGGGGGCTTTGTTAAAAAAAACCTGAAAGGTGTGTTTATTTTTTAGGGATGTTTAATTGACCAGCCTATCGATATGACCATGGACCTCTGTAATAGATGACTGCCTTCAACACGTGACGTCACATACCGCGACGTCAATCATTGGCTCAATGGCGCGTGCATTGTTTACATAAGACGTTACTGAATCGGGCAGAATGCTGCCTTTTACTCATTTTAATACCCATTTACACTAAATAGGAAATAATTTTGACCTATAAATACTTCAAAAAATGTTTTAGAATTTAATTTGTCGGAGGAAAAAAAGTTAATATTTTTAGCTCATTAAGTCGCATCAATTTCATCCTTATCAGTGATTGTAGCGGCTTAGCGAATATTCACAGCTGATCAGTGTAGGCCGTATATATAGGTCCATGATGTAACCGGCTTGTTTATTTCGGCACTTCCTCATACCTGCGTTGTCATGGTTGCACAACTGCCGTCTAACTTTCGGGCAATCTGACTTTTCGGGAAGATGGGTCTTGTGAAAATAAAAATATTATTTCATCTATGTAGTTGGCAAAATAAAGTGCCCGAAATCTTATAAAACACTAATTTTACCTTTCTTTTAATTGAATACCACGAATATGTACTAAATTGACTATGGGTTAAAACATTTTGTCTGGAGCCACTCTACTTTGTGCGATATTTTTCGGGCATCGATTATTATTTGTGAATGCAGCTGCAAGAGTCTGATTGGATGGTTGGAATTCAGGTCGACATAGAGTGGGATTTCGGTTACAAAACCATTGGACATTTTTGAAGCTGCTAGAACAGCAGATAAACGCATGACGACTGACTCGTTGTTTGACTGGGTAACATCATATCCACAGCCTCCTAGGCTGAGAGGCTGGGAAACAAACATCATTCGGACATGATTTATACACCACTTGGATTGGACAAGCTAGGGAAAGAGAACTTATATTTAGCTTATATTTAATGCCATAGCTGTGTGTGAAGTTTACTATATGGATGTTATCTATATATTAATTTGTGACTGTCGTCTGTCTGTCTGTCTGTTCGGGGTTGGCGGCTACATCTGCCCCGAGTCTGAAATTTGGGGTATTGGGGTAGCTCGGACCGGGGAGTAACATAGGCCAGGTGGTGTTAGACTACCACTTCCGGTTTCGGAGTTATGACCCCCAAGCGAAGCCCGTCTGTTCGGGGTTGGCGGCTACACTAGGTCTGCCCCGAGTCTGAAATTTGGGGTATCGGGGTAGCTCGGACCGGGGAGTAACATAGGCCAGATAGTGTTAGACTACCACTTCCGGTTTCGGAGTTATGACCCCCGAGCGAAGTCTGTCTGTTCGGGGTTGGCGGCTACATCTGCCCCGAGTCTGAAATTTGGGGTATCGGGGTAGCTCGGACCGGGGAGTAACATAGGCCAGGTGGTGTTAGACTACCACTTCCGGTTTCGGAGTTATGACCCCCGAGCGAAGCCGGTCTGTTCGGGGTTGGCGGCTACACTAGGTCTGCCCCGAGTCTGAAATTTGGGGTATAGGGGTAGCTCGGACCGAGGAGTAACATAGGCCAGGTGGTGTTAGTCTACCACTTCCGGTTTCGGAGTTATTACCCCCGAGCGAAGCCGGTCTGTTCGGGGTTGGCGGCTACACTAGGTCTGCCCCGAGTCTGAAATTTGGGATATAGGGGTAGCTCGGACCGGGGAGTAACATAGGCCAGGTGGCGTTAGTCTACCACTTCCGGTTTCGGAGTTATGACCCTCGAGCGAAGCCGGGTATCCTGCTAGTAAAGATATAAAAACATAGTTAACGTTAAAAGTGTTCCAGAGTTAATTGATCATATCACCACGACGTGAAGTCAAAGAAATTCCTAGACGAAAATGTAGATAACAATATTATTTTCCTAGACGAAAATGTAGATAACAATATTATTTTCTATGTTTGAAAATATGTTGATATTGAATTGATTATTAATTTAGTCACAAAATATGAAAGGCGCCATGTGCGGAGGGGAAAAAGACCATCGGTGGCAGATATGGGATATTTGGTTATGGAGAGACTGGGTGGGGTGGGGTGGGGGGGGGACTCTCCTCCGAGAATATTTTAAAACCTAGGGGTTGCAATGATAATTTGTTTCGTATATCTGGACTCCAATAAAACATTCAATTCCATCAGCTACACCCCCAACTGTACATCTCTTAATGACAGAATATAAATTTCAAAATAAATATTGTGGCATTGACGAAATTAGCAGACGATCATATAGTGGGTTATGTGTAGAGCGCCATAAATACTCTCGCGAAATAGCCCGATTATCAAAGAATAATTTATAATAGCCCCTCCCCCGTTCCTCCTACTAGGATCGACCACTGTAAACAATATAGCCCCTCCCCCGTTCCTCCTACTAGGATCGACCACTGTAAACAATATAGCCCCTCCCCCGTTCCTCCTACTAGCCCCTCCCCCGTTCCTCCTACTAGCCCCTCCCCCGTTCCTCCTACTAGGATCGACCACTGTAAACAATAATAATATTAAATATGTTTAAGTTACAATTTCATATTTTTAGGTTATATTTTTAAAATTTATTAAAATAAAGCCCTAAAATAGATGGTATCTATAAACAGTCCTACCTTGTTAAAAAAATAATCCTATTAATCCTATAATTCACTATTGCCAGTTGAGAAATTGGCAAAAATATCATTTTCCTCTTCAAATTCAAACGTTTGAAGATAGCTACTCCATGGTGGAGAATAGAAAACAAGGGAGGTAATTGGGAGGTAATTGTGTTATTATTTCCGGTGTAAATGAGTTTTAAGTGTGAGAATGACACCTATGATCGTATAATAGTGAGTTGACAACCTATTCAGCAAAAGACATAGAAATAATTATGTTTTGACTTTCTTAGAAAATATGAAATTGTAACTTTAAATACGTAAAATGCTAAATTTACATTGCAGGTATTTATTTAGGCTTTAAATATATAAACTATATATTATTTAAATCAACTCTCTGGGCCATCGGGTGACTGCGATTTTAAGTAGATTAGAACGATTCGTCCTTTTAATGATTGAATTTAAAAGTAGTACGGTAATAATGAATGCCTCATTTTGTGAAAATTACAAACAGTGATTTTAAAGTAGCTAAGTCTCTAACTCAATATCATCCAAAGTCTTACACGTTGAAAATACGAATTATTTGTCAATTCAAATCAACATTGATGTTGTGATCTTACCGGGAAAAGGTTGGCTTCTGATATCCAATATTTAAGACAAAATAAACATTTTATCATTGGTACACGAATCGTGTACCATAGTGCGTTTCATCGTCATTTGTAACAAGTGACCAGAAAGAACCAGGCTAGACATATTCCACAACTCATGTCAAACGGCGACGCCATAACTTATCTGGATAGCATGCGCAATAGACTGGAATAATCAGACGCTAGAAATTTCTATTCGGTTGAGACTCATGCCGTATTTCGCCGGACATAATTGATTTGATATTAGAGTCAAAACGGAAACAATTGAATGTAAATCAGTTCATATACAATCAGATGACATTATTATATGCATTGCGACCCATTTGGAAAAATTTCTAGGTCCCAAATATTAGCGATATAGCTCCTTTAATTGCATTAAAATACATTAGCCATTTAATTACTGAATGTTGATGATCATGTTATGCGTTAAACATCATATTAAAATTTCTAGCACTGACATGTAAAAGTGATCCCTTGGAAAAATGTTTTCATTACGTGATTATAGTCCGAAGAAGTATTCCCCCCCCCCCCCACACACACTCCCCTTGCCAAGTTTCCGGCCAGTTTTAGACTTTGTACAGCACCGAGTGGAAAGTAAATGAAATGAAATGGGGTTTAACGTCCTACTCTTTTGCTCCGAACTGGGGTAATGAAGACGGGCATAACCCATACAGTGTGCTATGAGGGCAATTTTGACCCGAAAACGCCACTACGGCCTACTCTTATATCGAATTCCAACTGTCAAGGGATCTTTTACATGCACGCTAATGTGTACTTGGGACCTTGGTTTTTCGTCCCGTCCGAACGACTAGGTAGCTCTCCTTGCCAGGCCCTCCGTCCTGCATCTGACAAGAGGGAACCGCGCCAGAAATTGTACAAAGGGACATCCTATAAACGTATTTATAATCCAGAATTTGACTATAGTTATGTAGGAAAGTTTGAGTAGGGAGAATTCTTTTGAAGAAATGTTTAGTGGGTGTGGAAGTAGGTATTTTGAACTTGGGTGGACACTCGCCATGAGGTAGGTTATTCCACTATGACGTCATCAAATATGGTCGCCGACGTTGTATCAATTTTATCCTACCTGCTCTAGTTTTCTGTCAATTTCTATGAAACAAAGACCAGAATGAGGCTGTTTATGAAAAACACACACCACA